CAGTATACAACATATAAGTAGATTGATTTTTAATTCAACTATTCGATTTCAAGAACTACTTTCGATTAGTGCTATTTATTATAGAGTTGATTGTAAAACAAAAACGAGATGTTAACTTTTTTAAGAATCATTAAACTTTCTTTTTCTACAGGGATTTAATGAAATTATCGAACAAAATTTAATGTTGTAACATTTACTTACGTTTTAAAATATTCATAAAATACATTTAAAACTTTCATACTCAATACAAATTTACAGTTGCTATCAGCTGACTGTTTATAAAAATTTATGACGATTTTTATGAACTTTTTTGGCAATAGATATCATGGTCTATTAACACATACTAAAATGTTATGGCCCTACGACAAATAGTTTAATTTTAAAAATTCATCAAAGTTTAAGAAAAAATTATAGTCAAAATTTGTGTCAAAAGTTGCTTTTGTCATGTGATGAGTCAAACATTATCAATTCATTAAAATTTTAAATAATGACCTACAATTTTAGGGCATACAAGCACGTGTCTGTGCAATATAATTAATACAGTTAATTTAAATGTGTTTGAGAAAATTCTATTCGAAATCGCAATGTTTAGATTTAATTGAAAGCGATAACTTTATTGTTGCAGTAAACTGTTGAAAATTTTATCTAAATATCTAAATTTCCATTTCCATTGATTAAGTCAATACTTACACATTTCGGGAAGTTCATGCAACTTGCCTTAAGGCTTAATGCCACTTTCAACTAGTTAATTAAGTTTTACTGATAAATCAGGAAATTCTTTTATATTTATATCCATTCATCACATTTTATGTCGTAGTAACTATTCAAACTGAGAATTATGTGACAGCCTTAACTAAAGTGTGTATAATTTAGAATTTGCACAGAACATATATTAAATTATTTTACTACAAAATAGAAATATTTTGATGTGCATAAAATATGTGCAAATGACAAATGTTATTTGTAGATATCTTAAAAATCATTTAGTTAAATAGATACAAACTGATGAGCATTTCCAAAAAAGCTTCCATCATATTCTTTATAAAAAACTTTCTTCATGAGATTTTTATAAATGATACGAGTACAATATAAGTTTAATAGATAAATATCAAAAAACTAGTGGTGTATGACATCGTGCTGGAATATCCCGTACCAAAAATGAAATTAAAAAAAAACTTTCAACTTATTTTTGATTTTTTTGAATATTTTAAAATTATTTTTAAAACAATCGTGGTGCGATTATAGTATATTAACTCATAGACATGTAATGTAAACAAAATTTATACCTATTATTAAAATTTCTATAAAATATCTGATAATTTGATGTGCTTAATTTTTTGTCATTTTTATTATGTAATGCAATTTTTCACATTATTAGAAATCACTTCCTAATAAACATTGTAAATCTTTGGCATATTTTATAGACATCGAACAACTAAATCAACAAGCTACTTTTGTCAATCCCTAGAGTCAAAAATAAAATTAGTTTATAAAATTTCGATCAATCAGTTTTGATGTTGATGCCGAATGATGCCACAAACTGCCGATTGACAGTAATGAGAGGTTAAATTTATCTAATAGAGTGTTTTAAGGGTTTCGATGGGTCACACCATTGTAACAGCCTAAACAACTTGTTTTTTGTCGTTTTCACAGGTGGAAAAAAAGTGATTATAATATTATTTGACTATAATATCCAAGAATTTTTTTAGCCAATATGTAAGTAGGTACTGACGAGCAAACTGAGCCCAAACTTCCGGAAGAGTCTAATAAAGTGTTATATCTGGAGCATATCTCTGTACGGATCAGAGACATGGACTCTAGGAAAGGCCAACAAGAACTACCAGAAGAATTAGCGAGAATAGCGGGCAAAGAAGAGACTATACTGAGCACAATCATGAAAAGAAAAGGAAACTGGATCGGACCCGTTCTGCAAAAAGAGTGCCTACTACATAACGTAGTCGAAGGTAAAATAGAAGAACTGAAAGTAACGGGAAGAAAAAGAATGCAGATGATTGATGACTTACGAGGGAAGATAAAATTACAGGGAGCTGAAAGCCGAAGCAGAAGACCAGGAAGCATGGATAGAAGTTTGTAAAGGAAAAATGCATAAAAGTATATAAAAAAGTGTTTAATGGTAATGGTAAAGATAAACAAGGAAGGAAAAGAAAATCAGTGATATGTGGTGTTCCCATATCATGGACTTGCCTTCGGTCAGACTACCATTTATTATTATTATATGCAAGTAACAAAATAGAAAATTATTAAAAAAAATTACGGCACTACAGCCATGATAGCGAGGCCCGTAGAAAAAAAAAAATAGATTTTGCAGACGTACAAAAAAGCTGATTGTACTGGGTGCGCCATTTATAAGTGGTCAATGGAAGTGGTGAATAACTTGAACAATTTTTAATAAATTTTGATAAACTTTTTTATTATCAAATTTAAAGCCTTACAATTTTTGCAGCTAGGTTCAAAAAACAACGTCGGTCAAATTACCCCCTTTATTGCGCAAACGAAACTTCAATGTTTTCATTGACTACATATTTTTGACTCACCCTGTATATGCTTATATCAAAGATGATCAAAAATTGATTGAAGAAGTAAATATGGATTTTTTAATAATTGGCGAATATTGTGTGGGAGTAGTAATAGATATGATAGTAAAAACTCCCATCGTATAAAAAATTTATAAATTTTATTCATTATAAAATATGATTGATATGAAAAATATAAATGACAAGTCCCATTGTTTTTTTTCCTCCATGACTAGCCTGCTTGATCCCCACACGTCACCAATGTGGGAGTAGTGGTGTATATTAAAGTATAAACTCCACTTGTATAAAAATATATAAAATTTATTGACTATAAAAATTAATGATTTATAAAATGACAAGTCCAATTGTTTTTTTACAATCACTAGCCTGCTTGATTTCCCCACAATTGAAATTAATAAAAAATGTACCGTGATGTTACTCCTCGATCGAAAATAATTTTAAATTAGCTCCTTTTTATAATTCCTTACATCATGTATCATTTAATACCGTTTTGCCTTTTGATAATATTTTTTGTACAATCATTTTCATTCAAAAGTTGATCTAACGTTTACTTGAACGCGTGACAGGAAAAGTTGTTTTTAATTACCCGGAAGATGTTTCCTGTTTTGTTGTTATTGTTCTAGTAGCAACAATTTGTTTTATATTAAATTTTATTATTGTCTTTTCTTTTTGTTACGGTGACATCTTCAGCACTTTCTACCTGCTTAACAAGCTTGTAGAGTAAATAGAAGAAGGACTTCTATAGGCGCAAAATTTAAATGTTAGTTGTTTCATTAATATTTTTATTAGTATTAGTATTGTATTAAATTATATGCATTTACACTTTAAAAACCCGAAAGAAATCAAATAAAGTAAAAAACAGTGAATAAATATGTATAATTAATTAATTTAATTAGTGTTGCAAAAATAGTACAAATTAACTAGTGTGTAGTTGTTGGCAAATTATTATTGCCATAAAATCTCTTTAAAATATCTGATAATTTGATAACGGCATTTTTTTTACTTTTTTGGATCTCCGATACCGCCTTTCCAAAAATTTAATCAATTTTTCATTCCGTCACTACTAGTGAAATGTTTTTTAAATTTTTTAAATCGGGCGCTCCGTTTTCTCAAAACGTGAAATTCCGCTTTTTGCTCCGTATCTCCAAAACAGCTAGACCTGTCTTTGCCGATAACCAATACTTTACCAATAATCAGCGCATCTCAATCGAACGTTTTATGAATTAGTAAAATATTTTCAAAAATTTAAAAGATCGTAAGCTTTAGTTTTTTGCGTTTATCAAGATGTAAGTATCCGTTAGCACAGATAGAATTACGAAATTTTAACCTAATGAGGATTAAAAAGCTGTTTACTAATTATTTAAGTAAACGCAAACAATTGAATTTAACCTCTCACCGACCTCGCGTGTCGTCATTTCCCATTTTGCATCATTTTTAAGATGGTGCATTTTCTACATCAGAATTGCGGGATCATTTTTTTCTGGCTTGTTAACACACCTCATATATTGTTTTATTTCTTTTTGTTTAAAAATGTATTAACCTTCTAATGTAATAAAATAAATTTGGTCAAAAATGCCGCTTGTGATTAGAAGAGCAGCAAACGGAATCGATTGTTTTAGATGAAAGAATAAAATATAATGAAAAAATACCACAAAAAGTAGAAAATTACCTTTTCTGTTGAGGTTTGACAAGCATTAGAATAATATACTAAAATACAGTTCACCAAAGCCATTTGAATTAGAACAATGAATTTGCTGCAGCGCAACTGTAAAATTTAAATTTAATTTATTTTGAAATATACTTTTAAATAAATTTTATTAAATTATGATATAGTCGTATGTATAATATAGTCAATGTTCATAAGAATTATTTTATTATTTGCATATTTTCTTAAACGTACTGAATTAAACTATAACAATGTTTTTTGGATACTTTTAGACAATATGACGAGGAACAGATATTTCTCACGTATTTTGATTCCATTTCTTGCTATTCATTATAATTTCTTTTATTCCGGTATCTAAACGTCTTTTTATAGGATGTTAAAGATTTGATTTTTACAAAAAGATCAGTTAATTTTGTTTATTACATATCTAGCAATAAATACAAATGTTGGGAATTCATCAGTATATAACCAATCGATTTCAATTTCTGCTATTCATTATAACTACTATCATTGTGATTTCTAGGCATCTTTTAGTAAGAAGTGAAAGATGGTCAAGTTTTAAAAAATATTTTTATTTTGCTCACAAATTTGGCGATGAATATAAAAGTTGGCAATTCAACTAGGTATAAAACCAAGCATCAGAAAAAACATCTTGAAAATTAATTATTACTATAATTGTTATTTAGTTGTATAACAAGATATAAAATCCAAGAAAACATGCATTTCTGCGAGTATTAATATTATACATATTAATTATAACCATTGAAAATGTCTTGTCTTTAAAACAGAACATTGTTGGTTGATAAAGCACGAAATCTCTTTCTGACTATAAACAACAGTAGCATGCTCAATATAAGCAAAAGTGCATGCAGATAAAGTTTATGATCCACATCTATGCCTTCAATTTTAACTATATTCTCTATTAAAATCTCTACAATGGCGGTAAAGAAATTATGAAATGCTGCAACAATTATCTTACAGGACATCGGCGCTTCAGTATAAATAAATTGATCATAAGTAATACTGAAGTAAATCTCTCCTAGTATCAAAACAGCAGCCTGAGGTAGCATCCAAAGGACATGCACAGAATTCGGTTTCGTTACTACAAAAACTCTTGCTGTGCTGTTGACTAATGTAACCAAATAAACCCCGCCTGGGTCCAAATCGAGTTTCATGATTTTCGCACCATTCAAGTATAAATCATACAACGATACGTCTACTTCATACGTTCTGGTAGGATTATTGATCACTGAATGTCCGGCAACAATGCTTGGTTTTACAGTAATTGACAACTCCGAGCCGTATGGATCTCTGATTACCACGTTGTCCCTAATGTCAGCTCCCACGACAGTCAAGATGGGTAGACCAGACGCAGACTTAAGTAGAGTTTCTTGATAAGAATCAGCAACCGCCTGTCCATCTTCATTCCTTATCATCACCGGTATAGCAATACCGCCATATGTATCTATCGTTTCATTTATTGGAGAGAAGCAGGATCCTCTTATTGAAAGATGTAAAGACTGAGACTGATGAAGAGAGTCATAGGGTACGTGTTTATTGCTATACATCCCAAAAGGATTCACTATGAGGTAGTCTGGTGAAAGACTTTCCGATTGAATGACAGCTGTGCAATTAAACCCATTGAATATCCTGATTTGCAACTCCTTCTCCGTTGGCAAAGGTGGCAATTGTGACTTGATGCAGGTTTCCAATATTCCTGATATCAGGAAAGCAATTGATATCATCAGTCCACCAAAAATCATTCTTCTGAACGTTCTATCAAGTTTCCATGGTTTAATTACATGATCTATGACGTGATCGCATATTGGCATAATTATAATCGCCAATAATGGTTGCATCAACTCGTAATGTTCTAATAGAAAACTAAAAGATCCTAATTGTCCGTCCATTTTGCTGGCCTGGATCATCCATTCATCTACATATCGGCTGTACAGGCCGGAGAAAACTGGAACGCAACAAAAAATAATAATCATATTATAAATCGTTTTAATATCGGTAACTAATTCTGTTCCGTATTCGGGTTCTGCATGGTCAAGCCAATGCGGTCGAGGATTAGTTTTACGATCTTGAATTGAACGTATCATTCCGTTCCATATGCAGGCGATGATATATTTTGAGGTGTGCACCGGTTTCAAAATGGTATAATAACGAGTTCCTATTAGAAAAATAATAACGTTGGCAATTTTCAAGAGCATGCTTATACTGAAAGTCAATACGAAGCAGTCCTCTTCTCCTAGACATGAAACTGATTTCGTTATTAGTGGTCCGAGGAAATTTCCAAGGAGTCCGGTGATATTAAGTAGTATGTATAATGATCTATAGTATTTCATCAGCGCAAGTTTTTCATCTGGCAACTGAAACTGGTTGCCCTCAAATGCGAATTGTACGCTGTTGACAACAAAAGCCAGAAAGATACTGTATGCCAAATGCGTATAATACAATTCCTTGGTTAAATATTGAAGTGACGGGATCGTCATCAAAGCCATGAGTGCTTGTTGAATGATTATTCCAATAAAATTAAAAAGTAATAGGTAGTATTTGTTTCCAAAAGATTCACTGAGGCATGCACCGAGCGGAAGAAGAAAAATGATTAACAGTTTACGACATTGAAGAATTACCGACATTTCTTTTGCATCAAAACCAATTTTATTGATCATAAACGAGTGCATCACGGATGTTGTCATATGAAACTCCAAAGATCTAATTCCTTGAATCACGAAAAAGAAATTTGCTCCTTTCGGTAATTTACTTGTCAAATGCTCTCCCATTTTTTTGCTTTTCGAATATAAACTTCTTAAAAAACTTGCACAAAACACTTAAATACTTTCAATTATAACATATCTCTATGAATTGATTGACTTTAATAGAGTTTCATTTATTATTTCTATTGTCAAAATGACATTTGTTTAACTTCCTGTAGGGTAGTTATAGTAATGAGCCGAAAATCGAAAATGAAAATTTTTGCATATCTTCACGTTTTGAAGGTTTCTGAACATTTTGGCATACCTCAGAAAAAATGGATGTGTGTGTGTGTTTTGTATATCTGCATTTTTTCGTCCACGTTTTCGGGAGCACGGATCAACCGATTTGAATGGTTCAAAAAACATTCGATTCTTATTGATAGGGAGATGTGCCGATTAGTTTTTGGCATAGGCAGGTCCAGCTATTTCAAAGATACAGAGCTAAATTTACAAGAAATAGCAGTTTTTGAGAGAACCAAGCGTCTGATTTGAATGATTCTAAGAACTTTCTGCTTGTTTTAACAAAATAATTGCTTTTGGCACGATGACATACACCACTAGTTCAAATGAATATTGAACGATGTGAAGAGTCGGCACTTTATTGACAAACGTCGTCAATAAGAAACGGCACCTTATTGACAAATTCATCAAAAGAAAAATAAAATAAAGTCCAGGACGAACAAAAGTGTAGATGATGATCGATTTACGTGAGAAGAGAGAATACAGGACATTAATGGATCTGACGCGTAACAGACCAATGATATGGCAAGGCTTATGAAAAACTTTCCACACCAAATTTGGTTTCAAACTTTCCACGCCATGTGGTTGCTGTGCAATCAGGTATTTTTCTCAGGTTGCCAGATGGAAAACCTAACTTAAAAACCGCACAAATGTCAAAAAAACTATCTTAGATAACAGGGTCTTTCTGAGACAGCTTCATAACATACGAGTGACGTTGCAGTTTATGTGTTTAACACCTGAATGCACAGCAAATACATGACATTTTGACAGTATTCAGTATAATTCAGTAGCATAATGTATTGAAGTTGGAACGTAAATGGCCTTGCCATAACATTGGCCGAAACGCAATAAAAAGAAACATGGGCGCGGAGGTTTGAGAAGTAAAAAGTGAAGATAGTAGATTAAATTTGTTTCTTTCATAACAGTTAGATCAGCATCAATAATAATAATAATACAGTAAATCCAGTGCGAATAAATATTGAAGAATTTAATATCGTATTTCTATTTATCAGTGATTATCGATGCAGGGCGTGACTTTGTTACATATTTTATGCAAAAAATCCTACATGTGTTTTTTCTTAGAGTTCGTTAAACTGCAGTTCGCGTGTGTTCTTGATACCTACGGAGTGATAACTCGGTCAATATATCCATCTCTTCTCTATGAATGGTAAATGGCAGTGGCGCAGGAGGAAAATATAAAAAATCTCTATAGACAATGATATTAAAACGATTTATAATATGATTATTATTTTTTGTTGCGTTCCAGTTTTCTCCGGCCTGTACAGCCGATATGTAGATAAATGGATGACCCAGGCCAGCAAAATGGACGGACAATTAGGATCTTTTAATTTTCTATTAGAACATTTCGAGTTGATTATACCAATATGTGATCACGTCATAGATCATGTAATTATTCCATGGAAACTTGACAGAACGTTCAGAAGAATGATTTTTGGTGGACTGATTATAGCAATTGCTTTCCTGATATCAGGAATATTGGAAACCTGCGTCAAGTCACATTTGCCACCTTTGCCAACGGAGAAAGAATTGCAAATCAGGGTGTTCAATGGGTTCAACAGCTGTACAATTAGCTGTTGTTCAATCGGATAGTCTTTCTATAGTAATTAGAATACTCATTTTCAGATAAACAAAATGCGTATTTAATATGTATATCAATATTTGTTTCTGAGACAAAATTATTTCCTATTCCAAAATCCATCTTATGTAGAAGTCTAAAATTGACGGAAGATTGATAGATATATGAATCTTATAGCTTGGTTGTTAATCAATTCAGGCATATTTAATTATTGTTAAATTTCCCGAAGGAGAACTTAACGTTTCTGCCAGAAAATCTGGTTGGCCATAATTTTATTTGGTTGGCTTACTATATGTAATGTTATTCTGAATCGGTTCCAAAATTGGAAGAAGCATGTATGTATGGCAGCCAAAATTAGACCTTTCATTGACGTCTTTCCAAAAACGACCGCAATTTTCACTGATTTCCAAAATTTAGAAGCTATTTGGTGAAACTCCAAAGTTGTCCTGTTGATTAATGCATTATTTCATATAGTTCAAAATAATTCGCCAACGTTTATGAAGAGCAAAATTGTTTATATCTGCATCGTACATGTATTTTTGAAGTTAATAAATTTTTAGGAGTATGTATCTTATTTAAAATAAGACCGATATATTAATATAAAATACATTAATGCAAAATACATTTTAAATTGTGTCAGTTATGACTAGAAATGGTTGGAAAATATTGTTTAAGACTAACCACAAGCTGATATAGTGTCTAATTAATCATACTTCTAATCACAAAAGAACTAGCAATTTAACCCTTTCCACTCGCGTATTGCGAGATTGATATATTTATATGTATATTGCCGCCGCCGGTATTCGAGTGGCAAGGGTTGAAATATATTGTTATGTTATTGCACTGTAAGTGAAATAAATTGATGATGAAAACCTGTATGTCTATAATTTTAATAAGTCTCATTGTTTAGTATTTTAGATGTAATTTTCTCATTTTAGTAAAAAAATTTAGACATAATATTATAAAACTGTATAAAGTCGATTGGAGTATAAATAAATAAATAAATAAATAATATTAAAATAGATCATTTAATATGTATATCAAATCGACGTCACTGAATCTTTGCAACTTTGCGTTCGTTGATCGCATGCTACAGATATACATATATAATCATGATTATATATATATATATATATATATATATAACGGTCCAAGAATAATCGCGTATCTCAAACAACTATAGATGTTCGATATCGAAACTATTTGAAAAATGATTAACAAATAATCTGTATTCACTGTTACTCACATGATCGACAATTATTAGCAAATCACGAATTGGAATTATATATTGGTAACTTGTTAACAATGCATAAATATTTCATTGCATTTATTAGATAGAGTCTTATACAAAAAAAATCTCTTTATTAATGTCGATTAACTAAAACCCATAATTAAAATCACTCTCATTGAAAACAAAATTTAGATTAAATATTAGAAAAGTGGGGTTTCTACGTGGCATCAGTAGAAAAAGTTTTCCAAGTTCGATATCAACCTTGCTCAGTCTAATAGCAAGCAGTAGTATTGGCGGTTTTCACTTAAAAATGAGTTCTAAAATATGTTTACAGGAGTAAATAGCCCCCATATGGCATTTCTGCATTAAATTAATATCAGTATTAAAAAAGTTCTAATAGTGATGATGCACCAAATATAGATAGATCAACAACATCACGTGTTGTGGACATCATAGAACTCTGAAGTTCTGATTGCAGTTCAAAATTATATAAAAACTAGTTGAAAGTGGCATCGAGCCTTAAAGCAAACTGCTAGAACTTCGCGTACAAAAAACTAAAATTTTCAAAAAAAACTTTAAAAAGTTGTCCAAAACTTCGAAAAAAATCAAATTTTTGAGAATTTTGAAAATTTTGGAAAAAAATTGACTTTAAATTTAATTTTTTTTGAAAATTTTTAACTTTTTTATAAAGCAATCGCGCTGCATAGCTGTTTTAGAGTCGAAATATCGAAGAGCATAAACGCCGCGTCGTAGTCTAACGTGTGAACATTGGTACAGAACCCATAATTGTACACAAAATTAGAACGTATTATTATAATCTCTAAAAAATTTGATGTGCATATGTCCAATGATTTATTTTTGACCGCTAAATGGCATTATTTTTTACTTTATCGAATCTCCGGAAACCCTAGATCTGCCTACTGAAACATTTCACCAGTCAATAGAAATAAAATGTTTTTTTGAATTATTCAAATCGGACGCTCCGTTCTCTCAAAAACAGAAAAACTTTTTTGGCACTTTTTGCCAATCTTCAAAACGGCTAGACCTGCCTTTGCCAAAAACTAATCAACACGTCTCTTC